AGTTGGGTTTTTCTTGCCTTCACTCTGCAGCTGGGTGTTTACCATATCTGCAGAGAAAAATACAGAAGAAAAGAATGGTTCCTAACTCCTTTGCTAATGGACAAATTGAATGGCTATAGTGGTAATTTAATATTAGGAGAAAGGGCTTAAAGATCAGTGATTCGAAGCTGCTGCAACATGTCAATTTTTTTAGCTTATTTTAGTTTCTAACTTAGAGTTTCCTCTCTTCTCTTGAGGATGTGTAATGCCTTGGTTAATTTTTAAGCTACTAAGTAGCAGTTTACTTTTCCCTTGCATATTTTGCAGTTGATGATGACTGCAAGGCATGAATTTTTAATAAAAAATCTTTGCAGGGTCTGATATTTCTCTCCAGCTTCTCTAGTTTCACATTGTTGACATGTGTGAAAACTTGATTCTCTAGCATTGCTTACTAAACCGTGGAGGATAACAGCAGGAAATTTTACTCAGATGGAAGTTAGTATAGAAATATTTAGATTAGCTGTATCTCAGGTTTATTTTACCTTTTTTTAGATTGCTCTGTTTTGGGTAAGGCTGACAGGAGTTTCTCCCTGTTGCCATTTTCTTTCCAGTTGCAAGTTTCTGTCTGTGCTTGAGAAGGATTTCTCTCCTAAATTTGCCCTAAACCAGGACACTTATGAATCCAAGCTAAGTTGTACCATGCTAGCATATGTAAGGGAGTAATCTTGATCCTCCTCACAGAAAGTGATACTAAACCAGTCTTTTGTTCTTTTGATTTGACTGTTACTTTGTTCAACTTGTGAAAAATCATAGCCTGATGTGTGCTTAAATGAAATATATTTCCTCACAGCTCTGGTTTGTCAGGGATGAATAAATTTTTGAAATAGAAATACATCACAAGCCAAACAGGGTTGGGTCATTTTTAAATTTAATTCTGTTTTTCTTTGGTTCTTCATTGTAGTGGTGTGTGAAGTTTTTTTCTTTGAATAATATGTCAGATGTCCAATGCCAAGGATTTCCAGTGAAGTCTTTGTGAGCACATCTGATAAATTTTGGTAGGAAGTCATTGGTCTTGCATTTAGACATCTTGTTTGGCTCACTGAGATTTGCAGTTCCTTCAGCAAACACCAAAAGTGACATCTCCTTGACTGATGCAGCTTTAATATGAGATTAACAATAAAGTTTAAATATTAATCTATTTAACAATTCTTTTAATAAATTAATAGAACACACATCCTCTCCATTACATGCTTGTGGTTTTGGGGGTTTTCCTCCCTTAGAGAATTTTGTGTTCTCATGTTACTGATATTCTCCTCTCTTTCCTAAGAGCTGGCTTTGATGTTTCCTTTTTTTTAAAGGAGCGATACCTAAACTTTCAGGCATCCAGCAGTGAGAGGAATGGAGAGGATAGAAGATAAAGCTTCAGTTTGTTTACCTTCAAGTCTTCCTTCTTTATAGATGGGAGAGGCTGTCATACATTTGTGTGAAAGGAGGCTGAGATTAGTCCCAAACAAAACAATGTTTTCAGCTGCACTGTTATACTGTTCCTCCCAGGGCTGTCTTAGCTGATGTCTTTACATTGTAAAAAACTATATGGACTATGATTTATTCCCTCTGATGCTACCTTTGTGCATTTTATTGTTAATTAGAATAATGCCTGACACACCAAGGATGCCTATTCTTAGCAGAAAATCTGTGGTTTCAATCAGTTCTTCTGTTAACAACTTAATGTTGCTTTTTGAGCTGATGGCCTTATTTTCTGGGTTTAGAACATTTGCACACAGAACATCTGTATATGAATAGGAATCAGCAGGAGCTTTAGCATGTGAGCACTTCAGACTTGATAGACACAAGTTGGGCAGATATCAGTGAGGGAGGGCACCTTCATGCTTTCTCGATTACTCATGAATTCCAGGGGGTATCTTAGGACAGCACTCATGTGCTAGACACGAGTGCTCAGCCTAAAAGGGAATGCTCTTGGGTTAAAGAAGGTTAATATTAACAGTATTGGCACAGGAATCCTGTGAGGGAACAAATCCAGTGTGACTTAAGTACATTTTTTGCAGAAAGTAAGTTTACTGAATGCTTAAGAATAGTAATGCCCAAAAAGGACAAAAGAGGAGGCTCCTTTTCTGTTAAGAAAATGCAAGTAATACCTTGAGTTGAATTAACTGATTGCTTCTATGGGACAGCTTATGAGCCACCCAACTGGGTGTCTCTTTGTTTTGGAAAGCTAGGAACTTTATTGCTCATAGCCCAAAATGTTAGGAAATCTTAGACTTTCAGGTCTCCAATGCCTGGCTGTACTGACTGCCACTAACAGTGTTTGGGAAAAAAAAATTGCCACAGACACAAATTTTTCTCAGTTTGTGATATACATGTCTTTGCTTTCTTATTTATACTGTAAAGTGTTAAAACAACAAAGGCTTTGCTATTTATGTGGATCACTTCTGTGTCCTGTTCATGTGGATAATTTTGCACTACATGACAGTTTGGCATGAACTCACTTCATAAAGTTGCACAAAGCAATATACATGCCATGTCTGATAAATTGTTATATTTTGTACCTTTCCTTATCATGGGTTAACTGGGGACATGGCAGGGACAATGTATATTATGCTACAACAGCTGAGTTGCAAATTTATTTGCTTTCCAGTTTGCTGCTGAGGGCTGAATCATTCTGAGTGTTATAACAAATACATGTTAGATAAGTTATCGCAGCAAAACTGTTTCTCGTCACTTGGCGTTGATGATAGGTGTTTGAGACTCTGAAGTGAAAAACGAGGTATTTTTAAAGACTGAAAATATTTTAGACTCAAATGGTTGTATGAAATGAATATGGCTGCTCTTTATGTGAAATTGGTGACAACTGGTGTTTCCTCAGACATTCCAAAAAGTGTTGTTTGTCCTCTTTTTCTTCAGTAGTGTGGTGGGAAATATTGCTTTGTTGCCTTAGAGTCTAACTCACCATTATCAAAGTGAGAATTTGCATTGCTCCAGCTGCTTGATCTCAAAGTTCACCTCATTCTGAGAGATTTTTAGTAGCTGTTTTCACACAGATAGTGAGCAACAGATAGTGTCAGGGTTTAATTTGCATGATCTGTCTCAGCAAAGCTCCTTAAATTAAAACTTTCCTACTGTTAGGAATACTGTTCCAGAGTTGGACCTGGATCTGCTTTCAGCACTGTTCGTGCTCCATGAGAGTTTGGTGTGGTTTATGCGGTACATGGGACTTTTTTATCAACACTGTTGGCTTTCAGTGAAAACCAAATATCTTCTTCTTCCAGCCCAGCTTTGCTTTTGTTTTCTTCCTTTTTTTTTTTCTTTTTTTCCTAAGAAAGGAAATTACAGAACCCTATTACATTATTTGGTATCTTTAACTCACTGTTTTGATTTCTGTGGGTTTATCTTCCTGAAGCAGAACTGATAAATCACGACGTTGCCAAATATGTGTAACATTTTCATAACATGAGGCCAGTAATCATAAAGGCATTATGATTACAGTAAAGAGGCTAGGAAACTGAAGTGCCTAATGAAAATTAGAAATATATTTGGATTTTGTATTTCTAAGTACTTTTCATGCAGTGTAATCACTTCCAAATGATGTGAATGAAGTTTGGCTTTATTTTTAGGATTCTTTAAAGTCACAGGCTTACAACTTGGCAAGTACTGTGTTCTGATTTCTGCCTAGACATAGCTACTAAAAATTGTTGTTTCCATTAGTAGAGTATATATGGAAATAAAGATTTTTAAAAGGCTGCTGCTATAGCAAAATCCATTCTGCTGACATGTGATATGCAAATATTTTATGGATTGAACTGCAAGTGCTTTAAACTCTTTCTCAGTTTGCACAAAGCACAGTTTATCCAGTTACCTGCACTGAATGTATTCCTCAATACTTGCAAGTAATACGAACTGTGGAAAGCTTTATTTGTAGCATATGAAAGGAGGGAGAGGAATTTAAAATTACTGATATAAAGCAAAAAAATCACTTTATTGGGAAAGTATTTTTTATGTATTACATTAGAGGTGAAAGAGTTTGCAGTGCAGAGCTCTGACTTAGAGTTCTAACTTAACCAGGCTAAATCTAGACAGGAATGTTTGTTTATACAAGTTTTTTCTACTTTTTTTCATACAGCAGACAGTCATTGAGATTAGCAGTATGTTGGTTTACTGGTAGAAATTTACTTTTTGGTTGGTGTTGGTTTGTTTTTTTAAATTTTTTAATTCATGCTGCGATTTCTTGCCGGTAGGATATTGTCACTGTGAGTACTGTGGTGACAGTGGGTGACTTGACTTGGAAAACTTTGTTCTGATCTCTTTCAAAAAAGTGAAATAATTATTATTTCTAGCAAAGGCATAAAGATCCAGAGATGTGCTGTGCAACGAACCAGCCACGTGCTCTGATAGCTAATCAAGCTAATCAGGCCATATGGGAGCAAGGGCCACTTTGTTTCACACGCACATCCGTGTGTCTCAAGAGTCAGAAATCGCCTTCCAGGGGGCTTTCAAGTCAGCTGAGCAAAGTGCAGCCTGGGAAGGTTAATACACTGCCGTACTGGGAGTCGTTTGATGTCAGAAGGTTATTGCAGATTGCTGCTCGGTGTCTGTTTTCCATTTCTCACTTCTGGTCTGAAAAGGATGTTTTTGTTGTACGTGTAGGTTTGTTTCAACAAAGGTTCAAAGACCTCCTATGTACAGGACAAAACACAAGCCCAAGAATGCTCTTGGAGTGATCGAGTAACATGGGCTACTGGTTTTGTCTAAAAGTCTCCTAAAAATAGAAGTTTGTCAGCATTTCTTGAGAAGGAATTCTTTGCATTGGAAACACAGGGGGAAAAAAAAGATGAAAAGATAGCTGTCTGAACTTGAGCCTGGAAGATTTCTTATCACAAGGAGAAGCTATTAAATTACACGCAATACATTCTTCCTCTCTTCCATGTCGTTCACGGGAGGGAAGTCTGAGTGATTAGTCACAACATGAGAGTAGCCCCACCTGCCATGCCTTAATTAAGTGTTCCTCTCAGTGTCTGTCATGCCTTTGTTGTCAACTTCTGTTTGAGTTCTTAACCAGTTTTTAACTAGAAAGAAAGCCCAGCTAGAATTTTCTTTGACTGTTATTTCTGGTTTAGTTTTTCTATTGCTTATGTATTAATTACTTAAGAATTAATGTAGATAAAATGTAGACTTTTCCCACACACAGAGATAAAAGTAATTCCTGTATTTGATTCTTTGGCTCCAGGCTATGGTGGCTTGTTATCCAGGCAATGGAACAGGTTATGTGCTCCACGTTGATAATCCAAATGGAGATGGAAGATGTGTTACATGTATATACTATCTTAATAAGGACTGGGATGCCAAGGTATGCAATAATTTCTTTCTAAAATGTTTTTTACCTCCATATATATGTATGTATATAAATATACTTGTTACTGCACCTTTGCTTGAGGTTTTTGTTCATGTCCTTATTTCTGTGCCTTAGTTGCGATTTTACATTGTGTTAACTGTGGTTATCCTTTGCCTCCCTAATTCTGTTGTTAGTGAGAGCAGATAGAAATGAAGCATTTCTTTTCAAGATTTTGCATGATGTCAGCAGGATCTTCTTGACAGTAAGAATGGAGGAAAGTGGTAGATACCTCCCTATTCACAAAGAGAAATTAAAGGCAATTTCATACATTCTTTTTTTAAAATTTTACTTTTATTCCTGTTGAATCTTGTTTGCTTCTTGTGGAAGTAGATTGCTTATTTGAGTATGGTTCTAAAAAGAAAGATGGTATAGCTTGGGAGCATTTTCAGATAAGCCAAGTGTTACAGTCATTGCTACATCAGTATAGTTCAAAGCAGCACAAGTCTTGTATCACTGTAGATCCAGGGAGTAGAACAGATTTATACCACAGTTCAAGTAGTCTAAAAATTTACTACTAGTGGCTAGTAGTAAAGTGCATTTTTAATAAGGATTTTCCTAGTGATTCAATGGGACTAGGTAGATTTGAAGAACAGATGTAGGTAAATGGCAGTATTGAGACCATGAAAGAGTACAGCTTTGCTAATCCTTTGATTTCTCTGCCATTAATGATGGACAGGTTTGTTCTCATAGTGTATGGGGAAAAAAACCAGGATAAAACTACGGATGCCTCATCATGCTAAGAGAGTAGCATGTGGAAGAGTACATGGGAGCAGTCAGATTCTGTGCATAGCGTGCACCAGATATGGATAACACAAATTGCAGATGAGAGTTCTTATTTTTTTTTTTCCCTAGTAACATACTTGCATAAAACTGATAGATCAGAAAGCTGAGTCAGATGAATGCACTTTAAGCTTTCTGTTTCTGATGTGCTCTTTGACATGTCAAATTGAATCTTACAAGTAGAAAACTTTTTTTTTGCCATAATAGCATCTTTGCATGTAAATGGACTGATTGTACTAAACATCTTAAAGTGCAGCTTTTAGGGATTTTTGGTTGATTCATGTTTTCTCTCTTGGGGAAAAAAAAAAAAGAGAATATGTGCCAGAGTGTAGAAGTCAAGCAAATTGCATTTTCACAATCATTGTGAGAAATTTACGAGCTGGGTATTTAACTTACGAACAATGGCATTTATTTCGTGCAAAATCTATTTCAAATTACAAATTAATATACTAACAAGTATATTGTTTATTGAAAAAAGAATCTCAAACTTTTTTAGGAGAAGAAATGGATCTAAATTGTCACTTGTTTGCTGACTGAGATCACAGATGTCCCATCATTTATATCAAATTGCCTTGTTAGTACTTGCATTTTTATGTCTGTTATGACATGAAGGTCTATGGTGGCCATCTATAGTTAGATTTAACAAACATCAACACCATCAGTAGGAAGAAGTTAGTGTGACTTAAATATAATTAACCCCACCTAGTTGCGCTTATTTCTAGGCATACATAGGTAGGTTCAGCTGTTTTCAAAACATGAAAGAGATCTAAATTGACTCTGAGTAGTACAGATTCAAGCTTTAATTTGAAGTTTCCTACTCTTTCCTTATTTTAATTACACATAAACTTGTGCTGCAGCTAAAAGAAATAATCTCTTTAATGGGGAAAGGTGAAACTCAGATGTGAAGTAAAATGTTTCTCCCATCTATATTGGGGTGTTTTTAGCCACCTGTGTAATATTAGTCAGCCTTGTCCATTTTTGTTTTGCTGATAGTAATGCATCAACCCCCCCATCTAACTCACAGCTTTTACTTAAACATGAAAAGATGTAGCATTCTGAAATTACAGTGAAAAATGTGTTAAACAATTTGTTAAATGAAAAGCTATGGATTCATAATATCTATAGCACGTTATAAAGGCTTTTGTTTCAGTTCCAAGTGTCTGGGGTATTTTCAAATGTGATATTTGGAATTATTAAATGCAATGAGACTTGGCTCTCAAGCACTGTTTGCACATATTTCATTTGCAGGTAAGTGGAGGCATCCTTCGGATATTTCCAGAAGGCAAAGCCCAATTTGCTGATATTGAACCCAAATTTGATAGACTGCTATTCTTCTGGTCTGATCGCCGCAACCCTCATGAAGTACAGCCAGCATTTGCTACAAGGTAGGAGTGATGGACTCTCTGCTGCATGGTGCCTCTCTTAGCAAGAAATGAGAAATTAGGGACACTGTGAGTTGTTACTCCTGACATAAAGGAGAGTATTTCTGCTAATGGGTGATTAGGCTTCCACTCTGTTGCTAAGTTGGTATGTTGCCTGATCTCTTATTTTGGAGAAAACATCCTGAGTGTGTAGGTGGGAAGTTTCTGAGCATGTGCTTGGCAGAACTCTGTGGGAGCACACAGAGCCATAAGCAGGCCCCAATATAGCCAAAGGGTGCCATCTTCCTTATTTCTCTGTAGTGGCTTTATACCCTTCTGACTTGCCTTTGTCCTTACCACCCTACTGTGTTACTGGAAGATTGACTGGGTGCTTCAGTTTAATGTTCCCTCTTGTTGGCAGGGAGCTGTCAGAAAATAATAATTTTCAAGCTAAGCTACCATATCTAATTTGGGAATTATGTGAGGGTTGTGGAACAGAAACAACCATCAATATACAAATATTTTTGTGGCATATTAAAGGAGCTGTTCCCAATCTGAAGCACAGGGGGAACTTGACCTGTCTTTAGTCCCTTAGTGCAGGGCAGTGGTTGATGCTAAAGGTACCCACATTGACTGGCCCCCTATCCCCCACGATAAGTGACATTTCCAGATAGTGGCAATAGGTAAATCTTTTGATTCAGACTTCCTGTTGCCCATGCTTTAGCATGTTTGGATGGCCAGAGCACTGAACATTGACTGGAGCTGTGAGATGACACAGCTGCGTTTGCAAGAAGTAACTTGAAACTTGAAGCATATCCTCTTGCAGCTTTTCCAGAAGCTGTGCCGCTTTCCCCTCCCCCTCTCTACTCCCAGAAGAGTCATGGTGAAATGCCATTTACTAAAGCTCCTTAAAGTCTTTTCTCAATAGATGGCATTTTGTATTTAAAACCTCTACGAGCAGTGCAAAACCAGAGGAGCCGTGTAAGAAGGGGTAGTTAATTGTGCCTTGTGGCAAATATCCAAAAAAAATGATACTGCAGTGTGACTCAGTGATGAACTTGACCTAGTAAAAAGATGAGGTCACGGGGCAAGGTGATGTGGGCAGAGACTTTATTCTGGACAAGAACTATAAATAGCATTGGGGAAAAGAGTGTAAACTTAGAGCATCAGTGTCACCCTTTCAATGACTTTTCAGATAATACCTGCTTGTAGGAAAAGAACTCCAAACCCACTGCTTGTTTATGAAAACTTTGCTCTGTCAGACTGTGGAAGTATCATCTAATATAGGTTGTGTTTCATGTCAAGTGTTTCAGTGGTATTTTGCTTCATAATTCAGGAGTTCTTTTTTCTTCTCTTTCCTTAGGTACGCAATAACAGTGTGGTATTTTGATGCAGATGAAAGAGCACGAGCTAAAGTGAAATATCTAACAGGTAAGCTCTTCTTAATATCATGGTTACTTTTTTGTGGAAGACTACTTAAATGTAGCCTCATCTCATTGGCCCACCCTCTGCACAAAAAGAGAGAGAAAGTGGCAAAACTCGAGTTAGGTTTTACAGGAAAGATGACCCAGGGATTCAACTCCTGGGCAGTGGTTCATGAAATCCAGGTCAATGCCTGTCCTGCTTATACTTCCTCTGAGGCCTGAGGCTGCTCAGTATTTTTACAAGGGGGACACAGTTTCTCCCTACTCTTGTCTCCCTAATATATGTGGAGGAGGATTACACCAGAGACTGTAAGGCACTGCAGAACTGAGAGCTCTGGAAGTAGTTTGATCGAATGTAGGGATTCAACAAGTGAAAGCAACTTTACTTGACTAGAATTTTTGTATTGGAAAAACAGAAGCCTAAAATTAAAATCTGTATTCAAAGAATGGACTTACTTCCTTCATTTCCAATTTCACCTATCTAGCATCTGTTTTCCTTCTCTGGCTTCTCCCCCAAGAGGAAGTTGATCTAATTTTCCTGTTCAAATTAGCATTATAAGGAGAAATGGCCTAGGACTTCTGTCATGCTTGTAATTGCCATCACAATTTTGTGTTCATTACAATAGTTTAAAAATAACTCAAAATCAGGTGTACAGCAAATGCACACACACACGAACATGGCTTTGGCAAGAGCTCTGAAACCAATGATGTTGAAAACGTGTGCCAGTCATTTCCAGCTGAGACTTCCATTTATTGCTGTCTGGAGCTCCCAAGCAGCCCCAGTGCCGTGCACAGTTCAGCCAAGTCCCTCTTGGTGCTCTCAGTGACCGTGCATTTTGGGAGTGGCAGGAGCTGCACTGCTCCTGACTGGCTTTCCAAGGGAGCCCCTCAGCTCCAGCCAGCCAGGCTGTCCCAGGGCTTGGTGGCACATGCCTGGCAAGGCACAGGTGACTTCCCAGGCAGTCAGCCTGCCTGGCCTCCACGGGAAGCCTGTCTGTCTCTTAGCCAGCCTTCATGTCACCAGCGTGCAACTCTGCAGCTCCTGGGGTCAGCCTTGCTGGATCAGAGCTGTGGCCTCTGCACAGCTTCAGCTGCTGCCCTTTGAAAGGGACGGCAGAGAGATGGTTGGGGCAGGGCTCAGGCCTGAAGGGGAGGTGCTCCCCCTTCTTCCCCACCTCCCTGTCCAGGGTCCCCAGATTGCAGGCACTTAAGGAAGGAAGGCTGGGTTGTTTAAATTTCACAGAATCACGGAACCACTTAAGTTGGAAAGGCCCTCTGAGGTCATCAAATCCAGCCTCTGACTGAACACTGCCTATGAACTAGACAGTGGCACTGAGATGGTGCTGCCAGAGGTGGTGACTCCACTGCCTGCCTGTGCAGCTCATTCCAATGTTTAATCACCCCTTCTATAAAGAAATTCTTCCTCCTTCAGTATTGGTTTTCTCTGTAATGGGTTTAAATTACCATATTGTTGTGGTTTCAGTTTCCAGTTGCAATTCAGATTGCATTCTTTGCTCTGTATCTGCAGCAAGAATTGTGCAAGATGCAATTTATTTTCTACTGACAATAATATGTGAAATTATAGAATGAAATGTCATAACATAGAAACCTATTCATTTTTTGGAAAAATGTCAGTCTAACAAAAGCCATGCAGAATGTGTGTGAGTTTTTCTTGCTTATGGGATATTGTGTTTTGATAGTAAAACTTTATTTTGGGAAGTGATGTAGACCGTTAGACTGTACTTGGATAAATGCTGAAAAATACCATTTTCCTTTTCATATTTCTGCAGGTGAAAAAGGTGTGAGGGTTGAACTTAATAAACCTTCTGACTCAGTTGGGAAAGATGTTTTATAAGCCTTTGATTTAGCAACTCCCCTTGCTGTTCACCCTGATAAATCTTGATGCTATCTATTAACTTTTGAATGTGAATAACAAGATAAAGGAAAATCAACAACAAACCAACATCTTAATACGGAAGCAAACAGTGTTTCAATGTTGCATCAAAAAGAAGGTTCTTTGACTGCTGAAGCATTGTACTATGTGATTGTGACTCCAGGCCTGTGACTGCTTATGTGAAGAAGATAAGCAATCAGTAAGAAACACCATATGCATCTGGACATAAATAAGTGCCCTACATAGAATTTGTCCATCCTTATATTTTGCCAGACCTGTCATCCAGCTGAATCCATTTCATCTCTCCCTTTTTTTATATGGTAAAAGTTTGAATTTTGGGTAATTTTTGTATGACCAGGTACAGTTTATCAAAATTGAGTCTTAAAAAAAATGAAAAACTGATAAAAAGGAAAAAAATTACAGTATTCTCCAATATAACATGGATCTATTTTTGTAAAACTGTTCATACTGTTCTCCTCTGCCATGAAAGACCTAATTTAATGTAAGGGTTGCCAGTAACTGATAATCACTTTAATTTTTTTTTACAACTTAATTCAGAAAAGGAGCACTTTAATTACCAGCTAAAAATCTGATTGTTTTATATCATATCTCACACTAATCTTAACTTTTAAAGATTGCTGCTGTATTGGTTTTTTTTTTTTTGACTATGTTCTCTTGAACCTTATTAACAAAAGCAAATCAGTATCTTGCTATTAGTAACATTCAGTTTGTGGTTTTGTATGTTGAATCCACAGAGGGGAAGTTTCTGTCTCTCTTCTTTTCTCTTTGGTTCTTTATTTTTGGAGGGGGGATGTTTGGTTGTTTTTTTATTTTTGAAGTGACTGGCACTAAGTGAACGTGACACTATCAGTTGCTGTCATTGGCTTTGGGGACCTGGTAAACACCATCGAGTTACAAGAATATACAAGGGCTTTCCTAGGCTATTAGAGGTACCCAGAACCTCCTTACTTACTTGACAGAAATTTTTGAGCTTTCTCCGTTTTCTAAAAGATACTTGCCACCCCCCTTTCCTTTGTATATAAGTTAATAGAATATCTAAAATTCACTTTTTTAAATTTCCTTTTCAAATGTTGGTGTCCCATGCAGTCTGTAAGTTGACACCTTGATCTATTATATAGTATCAAGGAGGTGGTCAGCACACTGAAGCTGAAGTGCATTACTCTGTAAGCTCCTTGTGCAATAATACATCTTTAAATTTTCACTGTTGCTGAAGGATTTCCCCAAAAAGGCACTGCCTTTTGATCAATACTGAGGTATATATTTAGTAAGAAAACATTTGCTTTCTTTTACATTGTTTTTATTTTATCCAGAAGATGGGATATCACAGAATAAAAGTGAGATGTGCAGAAACTGTGATATTCGTATTTTTAAGAAATGGATGTTTTGGACACAGACTTTTTTTCTTCTTCTTCTTCTTCTTCTTCTTTCCTTTTTTTTCCCTGAGCTTTAAAAGCTTGAGAAAACAAAAGCAAACTTATCAAAGACAGCATTCATATTTACAGGAGTTTGGGGGTTGTTCACCTTACCCACTGCAGTTTTCTATCTGTCCCTTATTTCCTTACTTAGCCAAAACAATGTGAGTGTACAGAAATATTTCTGTATATATTACAACTTGTGACAATTTTAGCATCTGTATAGTTTGTATTCAATTAAAGACCCTTTCTATGGAAAGCTCAGTAATTTTTTATTAAAAACATTACTATTGTTCATGTAAAACATGAAAAAGCTAATTGTTTAGTAACAAACTGACAGAAGGGGAGAAAAATTCAGTATTGGTATATCATTTTGGAGAACCAACAGAAATCCCAGCTTTGTTTTGATTTCACTTTTCCTTTTTTTAGTAAGTTCTTGCCCTGTACAGTTCTCTTCCTCTTTCCTCTTTTTTTCCCAGAGAAACAGACAGGATACCTTTACTGTAAGTGCCTCTGCCAACCTGGCCAAGGAGTGCAAATCTTCATTACTGTCTGGTCTGCAGTGCTTTTAGGCTACCAGTGAAACAAGCAAAAAAGTCACCTCTTCTACTTCATCTTCATTAGTACTCCTTTAACAGAAGTTTGGTTTTGTTTTAGAAACGTAAGCATAAGCCTTTAAACTCATTTCAGTCTCTCTGTAATTCAAACCGCTGCAGTCAAACAGCGTATCAAATTCTAATCACACTGTAGGTTTGTGCTTGCCAGACAGGTTTAAAAAGTGCTTAATTTTTCACTCCATGTAAGTCATTACAACAGGGTCAACAAATCAGGTCAGCCATTTCTTCCATGTCCTTTAGAAACTGTTCATTTCATGTCGGTTGAATATTCAGTCTCGAGCATCACCAAGCAGGTCCTTGTTTTAAAACTATTTTTTAAACTGTCTTATGATCTGTATGTGTCTAGTCCTGGTTAAAAATAAAGCTTCATAATGCTATTTTTATTCATGATGTTAGCTGGCTGTGAAATATGAGACCTTTATCTATAGCAGGCAAAGAAATTCAGGATTCATTTACAGGTTGCCTATAAAGTTGTGTAATTTCAAAAGCAGTGTTCATTATGAAACATCTCCTCAAGTTGCTTGTAAAGCTAATCTAATTAAAAAAGATGATGTATAAAGGTTCTTGAAAACTATGTGGTTATTTGTGATCTTTTTAACTTTTAAAACTACTCTGTAGCAACTAAGTTATGAATGCCTCCTGATAAAGGGGGTATGTGGAATTTTGGTTGTTTTGTTGTGGGTGTTTGGTTGGGATTTTTGTTTGCATTGGGATTTTTTTGTTGTTTTGGTTTTGTTGTTTTTTTGGTTTTTTTTTTTTGGTGGTGTGGTTTGGTTTGGTTGATTTTTTTTTTTTCTTTAATCAGAGCTGTTTCTGCTCTGGAGAAGGATTTGGGACTTTTTTCTTTAGACTGCCTACAGTTACCTGGGTGTGGTCACCGTTTTCCTGATTATTTCCTCCCTCAAAAACAGAACCCTTTTCAGGCTTTCTGAAGAGTGATTATGATGTAGAGTCAGCTCTAATTTTTTCCCCATTTTTGACAGGTTTGTGAGGTACAAAATGAGTCACATTTAAACAGGATGTGTAAGGTTTAATGGGATGTCCTCAGTTTCACATGGCTCCCAATGAATTATAGGCCCTTGAGAGAGGACAGAAGAATGGTAGAGGCTGCAGGTGCAGAACTGTAAAAGATAGCACACACTATTCCTCCCCTTTTGGTGAGCTTTGTGTTGGCTGTGTGGTTATCAAGGAAGGAGCTGCCTGGCTGGGCTTCTGACATCCCTCTAGCTTCTGTGAAGCCCCTGCATGTGCTTGTCTCTCTTCAGCTCGTTCAGAAAGAGTTACCTGCATCTTCAGAGGAGTCTCCAGCATCAGTGCACCTTTCATGGCATGTGGGTGCCAGTCGTGCACATTTCTGCTCTAAGGCGATGGTTCTTGGCATTTTCTTAGGTTGAAACAGAAATGTAGCAGCACTGAGCTGATGGCAAAGTGCTTCGAAGCTTTTTCCATGTTCAATGCTGTGTAACTTCTTACAAGTTGTCTTGAAAGTACCTCTTCCCCATCCTAGTTTTATATTGAACAAGGAAGAAGCCTTTCTTGCAACCATCCTGTGTAGACCTGGTTTGGGTTTTGTTTTGTTTTTTAAATTATCACATGCTTGAGCACAATATGCAGGGGGATTGTTTTGCATAGTAAATTAAACACTGCACCAGGGAAAATGAAGTGTTTCACTTGGGTGTTTCTCAGAAAAGACATTTGCAGATTTGAGAGCTGACAGCCTGTATCATATGTAAAACATCTGGCTTTGCTGACCACTTCAAGGTCAGGAGTGGAAAAATCACATCTCCATCATACTGGTAAGTGTGGCCAGACTGAAAAGTGCCATTTCTGTGCATGTTGAATGCTTTGAAGAAGAGGGAAGAAGGCCAAGTGATGATAGCAAACTCAAAGTCACAAAACTCCAGGAGTCTCCCATTTGCACCTTGCCTGCAGGCATGCAGATAGCAGCATGCTCTTGCAAATGCTTAATAGGAATTTATGAGTACTGAGCAGCAAAGACTTTGAAGAAATTCATGGGTCTTAGCTGGATTTGGATCTCACCTGCTGTTGGGAGGGGGTGGGGGTCAAAGTATGGATCTCTGGGTCTCCCATTGTCAGCTTTTTTTTTTCTTTTTTCATGTACTGAGCTCTGGTTGTACAGGAGCTGTGTTCACTCTGGAACATCTGCTGCATCAGAGTTGCTTGACCCTGTCTGTTAGGGGTGGAGAGCAGCTGACAGAAGCAGGTTTCAAGGTCCTCTCTCCTGCCAGCCAAAACCAGTTCAGAGAATTTGCTCTGTTGACTTTTACTACCGCTTGCTGAGTTTCATCAGGCTTTTCCTGATGGCTTTGAAGTTGAGTGAATATACAGAACATTCATCTCTTTCCTGAAATATGAAAAAAGAACCCCAAACCCATAGCTCCCAAATGAGTTGGCACTAAAAGTGGAAGGGACAGATGAGATTTAACTTGCCAACCTGTTGGGGATAGGCTCAAATCTTTAGCCAGGAGAGTAAGTAATGAGTTGGATAGAAATGGTAAGGTAGGATGTGAAGAGACCAAGATACAACATGTTGGGTGGTATGAGGAATATGGGACAGTGCAATTAAAAATACACTCTAGGTGTCTGCTTTGGGAGGAACATGAAGTGTGGGGGAAAAGAATGCAAAATAACTTCGTCTCAAAAAAGACAGTTGGTGCATCCCATCCATCCTTTTCTTCATGCATGTGTGTTGCAAACAAGCATATTTTCATCTCTGGAGATGAGATGTTCATAACTGCTTGAAGTAGGAGCTGGTTTACTTGTCTGTATTCCAGAAGCAAGTTGTTGGACTTTCCCCTTATTAAATATGTAGCTTGGGATTAAACTTCTAATGTTAATAGTTTATGGGGTCTTCTGGAGAAGTTGTTGTAACTACCTTTGTAACATGGTGATAAATGCTGGAAGTGGTGACGGGCTCATTTAGCCTCTAAGCCCAGTACTGTCCTTTCCATATGGCTGAAAGTTTGCAGGGCATGCCTCACATCAGAGTGGGAGGGATGTAAAACACAGAGATGGGCTGACAACTTACCAGGAACACACACAGGCACGCTGTGATAAAAGGCACATGCTTCAGGGCAGTGTCTGAACTGAAACCCATTATTTCTTTAAAATACTGTTGGGAGACGGGAAGTAAAATTTCATCTCTGAATATTCTGAATATCCAGTGTTCCTTGTGGGCTTGTCTGTCTGTGTCAGTGTGGCTTGCCAGGATGGAACCAGTTCCTCTCCTGGGTTTGTTTCAAGGCCTAATGTGGTTCTGTTTTATTTTATTTAAAAGCAAAAAGATGAAGCCATCATAACTAAAGTGTAGAGATTTGACTCCTACTCACAAATTAAAAGGCTAGTGTCTGAATATCATATTCGGTTGTGAGTTGTATTTTGCTACCTAAAGAGAGCAGGATCAACCAAAAAACCAAGAATAAAAACCTCTCAAAAGTATCTGAAGGCATGTCACTTTGGTTGTAAATGTGTCTTGTTTACATTACTGCATGTAAGTAGTTTATAAATCTAGTAAAAAAGATTGCATTCTAGCAGAAGTCATGGTGACAGCTCTAAGGATCACAAGGAAAGTAGAATTTTGGGGCTGGATTAATGACTGTTGGAATCCTGAGAATTTTTTTCATGCAGTAAGATAGGAGTGAATCAACCAACCACTACAGAAACAAACTAAATGCCACCACCCCTAGATCTGAAAAGTAAAATTTTGGTGGGTGCTGTACCATGAGTTACCAGAGCCAAAAGATACTCCAGAACTGTTTTTATAGGAGTACTGAGAACATCTTTGGACGTCAAAGAGAATATTTCCTCAGGGAAAATGTGACTGTGGACACTGCTAATGTTTGCCAGAGGGCCGTGGCTAATAACAATCTGTTTTCTGAGATTAGAGTCCAGTTGATGGTGTTGTTGATAGCAAGGAGCAAAGTTTGAGCTGTCACATTAGGCATATTTATTTTCCCTTCGCTTCCCCTTCCCCAGCCACAACATAATAGTGAGTAATGTGGTGCTGGACACGTGTTCTGCAGAGTCATGTTTTAATGAACAAGCAGAAACTACAAAGTTAACTCTCTTCAATCCCAAATATTTCTTGTATCTAGAAGAACTTCTGTAGGTAGCAATTTTGAAACTTCTTTGACTACTTTTATTTTTTTCCACCTGCACTTTAAGAACATTATAACTGTTTGATTTGGTTTTTGGGCTTTTTTAACCCTTTATTTAAAGTAGCACATTAGGAAATGACTGTGTCTAGCTGAGAGTTGCTGTAGCTCTGCAACCATGGAACATTATGCGATGAGATGGGAAAGGAGAGCACGTACTTCACGATAAACCCAAGGCTTACACAAATCCAGGAGGGCAGGTGGGGAGCTGGGGCCAGCTGTGGCCAGGCTGTGCCTGGGACACCAGGAGTGGGATGCAGGAATGCTTCAGGCTCCTGGGACTGGAGAGAGCAGGTGGGGCCCTGCTGTGTCACCTCCCAAAGCAGAAAAACATGTTCTTTGTGTCCCAGAGGTGACAGAGACACACCGCTGTCTTACAGGGGGAGGATGCTGTGTGATACAAAAATCCACTGGGGCAGGGATGGAGGAGTGGGGAGAGTGGGATGGGGTGGTTACCCCTCCAGTGCTCTCAGTGGGTTTGAAAATGTGCTCATTGCCTCGTGTGAGAGTGCCTGGAGAGAACTGCTCAGCTTCCAGCCTGCCCTTGCTTTCCTGCTCCCTCGTGTGCCTGGGGGCCTCTCCAGCCCCTTGCTACCCCAGTGCTCCTGCATCCTTCCAGGGCTCCCCAAGCACTGCCAAATCTCCCACCTGCTGCCAAAGGAGCTGCAGGCCTTTCTCTTCTGCTGTGTCCCTTCAGTGGGGGTTGGAGAAAATTTTAACATGCTTGGCCGAAGAAAACATTTGGGGTGGGGTTTTTTTGTGAGACGACAGCTGGTCACAGCCTGGTGGCTGCCTCTCCAGGTGCTCAGGTGCTACCCAAGCTCTGGCTGCACAAAATGCCCTGAGAACAGTGGCTACCAGTCATGGCTGGCAGCACAGGCTCTGCCTGGGGCTGCTGCCCGCCTGAGTTGGTGCTGCCTGGCAAAAGCTTGGTGTGCTAAGCTGCTGGCTGTCCCTGGGAGGCCAACTAACCCTGAATTGCTCCTTGTCCCTTGCAGAGGTGGTGAGGATATACACGGCAAAGCTGAGCTGTGGCAGCTCATGGGACATACCCTTCACCTGGCACTGCATTTATGCATGCAAAAGCCACCCAGCAACAGCTTCACACCAGGCTTGGGCAGTCTTTCTGCTGAAGAGAAGTAGACAGAAGGAGAACTGAAAATTGTTGGACAGGACATCTACTTGTCAGTCTCCTAAAAATGGTGTCACTTCAGCACACACCCATCCTGGGTTCAACATGGGATCAACCCATCCTGTAACAATTCACAGCTGGGTGAGGATGCTTGGCCAACAGCAGAAGCCTCCCATCCTTCCCCTCTTCCTGAAGAAGTTAAGGCAGTGTTTCCCTCCGTGTCTGCTGCAGGGTGTGCATGGGCTGCCTGCAGCCTCTGTGTGGGTC